CGATTCTCCTGCCTCAGCCTCCTGAGTAGCTGGGATTACAGGCACGCACCACCATGCCCGGCTAACTTTTGTATTTTTAGTAGAGACGGGGTTTCACCATGTTGCCCAGGCTGGTCTCAAACTCCTGATAGGTGATCCGCCCACCTTGGCCTCCCAAAGTGCTGGGATTACAGGTATGAGCCACCCCACCCAGCCTAGAGTATTAAATGTAGTACCATGTCTGGCATAAATATTTGGTATGTGATAGTTATTAGAATTTTAAGAATTAGACGGGAGGGGCTACTTTCCAAGTCTAGACAATAATATGGGCAAAGTTACGGCGTTAGTAAAGGCTGAAGCATTTGGGGGCAAGTGGAATTGCATCTCTTACTGTCCTAACCCTTCTTCAAAGCTGGATCTCTGCCATATCATGAGCACCTAGAACAGGGACTGGCACATGGTAGAGACTCCACAGATGTGTGTTAAATAAAGTCAGCTGCCTCCTAGCTGTATCCACTGAATGTCTCTCAGGATCCCCAAACTGAGTTGCATCTCAAGCCCTCTTCCCAAGCCTGTGGTGTACTTGCACTCTAAATTCTATTATAAACACAGCATTATGCCTATTCCCCAAGCTAGAAACCCTGGAGATGAGTTTGAGTCCTCTCTACCCCTCCCTCTGCTTCTAGAAAGTCACTGCTAGATTCTCAGAAACGCCTCTGAATTTGTCATCTCCCCTTCCTTCCCGTCGCCTTTAGGCATCATCTCTGCTCAGCTGTTGCCGCAGCCTCTATCTCGTCTTCCTGCTGCCAGCTCAAGGCAGTAGGCAGTAGATAAAGCTGGAGTTCTTCCAACTTTGACCGGGGTACAAAGGATAGCCACGACTCTCCTCTACCTACACAGGCTTTTGGCAGAGGATAGAATACTGCTTTTTGACCCAGGTTTCTTAAGATTTCTTTTTTCTTTCTTTCTTTTTTTTTGGAGACAGAGTCTCGCTGTGTCACCCAGGCTGGAGTGCAGTGGCGCGATCCCAACTCACTGCAACCTCCGTCTCCTGGGTTCAAGC